GGGGGGTTACTGTAACTTCATTTTTGGGGAGATTTGCCATGTACCACCCTGTATACAGTAGTTGCTCACCATGCCAGCTTTCTCAAATTCAACACATAGGTCTGGTTGATGAGGATGTATATGTATATAGTTCGTTTTGACAATTGGAGTATACCTCCCAAATGGCTATGGGACAATAGGGACAATGATGATTAACCAGTGGAAGGGATGAGGTACCTTATTCTCAGACAACCCATGTGTTATATACTGTATACTGGTAGATAATAGGGACATATACTGGCGATATGATGAGCAATTTAGTATAAGTTAAGAACATGGTTAATAATTGTAATGAGGATAAATACTGGTTGGTGGTTTCAACCCCTCTGAAAAATATTAGTCAATGGGATGGATTATCCATTATATATTATGAAAAATAAAAAATGTTTGAAACCATCAACCAGATAAATATAATGGGTACGTTGTGGCATACATAACCAACACCAGCAATGCTGATTTCTCCGAATTCACCTGGAAAGTCCGGACGATAACGTTACCTTTGAGATGCAAGGGAATACCTGGGTCAAGACCTGTCTCAGATATCATTATTGCAAAATGAAAACGATACATGTCATTTCATATGAATATACAGGTGTATGCGTGTATATATATACACAGTATATATATATACATGTATATATTTGATGGTTATCTGATGATGTTGTACAAAAATGATCAAAAATGCAGAAAAAAAAACTCTCCACACATCTCCATGGATATCATCCAATCATCCCCCAAAATTTCGAGAAACCTGGCAACTTTCCATTCCCATCTCCTCCCCACCGGCCAACTTCTTCAGATCGCTTCGCCAGGCGAGGTCCGCGCGCCGACCGTCCGAGGCCAAGGCCTCAGAAAACCCACGGTTTTACAGGGGGATGGATGGAAATCCTTATGAAATCCTCACCAAATCCTCCAAATCTTCATGAAATATGGATGAGATGAATGTTTTCTTGAATAATTACCCCAAAAAAAAAATGAGGCAAGAATCAGAGAGGAGGTTTGACCCAACGGAAACGGAGAGGACGAACATGAAGTAATATGATTAATAGGATGTAATATGATGTAATATGATGTAATATGTAAGAGAGGGAAACGTAGCCGATGAGGCTTGGTGAATCCACCACTTGTGGAGTATCCCCGATGGTTGCACCTCAGCATTCGAGCCGCCTTCCTGGATCACAATTCCTGTGTACAGTTTGACATCACATTGGTTTTGTTTCAGACTGGGCCATACTAGTACCATGCCACATCCATTTCATCGAAGGAAGTTTAGAAGTCAAACTTCCGACAGTTTGGACAGATGGAAAAGCAGGGCTGGGAAGAGTCAGAGAAGAGAAAGGCCGAAGAAAGAAGCTCAGAGGAGAGAAAGAAGCTCAGAAGAAAGAAGATGCAGGCGCGCGAAAAAGTAGAAGAGTCGCAAAACACTGTATTTTCCACTGTTTTGTGGTTCCGCAGGGTCGAAAAGTAGGCTCGCTGAAGCGGTGCGTGCGGAGCCATCTGGGCAGATGCGAGATGAAAAATTGCGCACCAATGTGGCACGAAGCAGCTTCGGAAGTAAGCATGGTCAAAACACCTCAGCCCCGGAACGCTTTTGGACGTTGAGATGTCGAAAAAGTGCACGCCGGTCTGACGCGAAGCAAATTTCGAAGTCAAACCATAAAAAAACATTCTCGGGGCACTTTTGGAAATTTAATTGTTGAAAAAATGTACGCGGCTGTGGCGCGAAGCACATTTCAAAGTCAGAAACACTGCAGCTCCGGAGCATTTTTGGATATTGAGATGTTGAACAAGTGCACACCGCTGTGGCTTGAAGCACGTGTGGAAGTGAAAATGGTAAAAACACAACAGTGCCGGGGCACTTTTGGAAGTTGAGCTGTTCAAAAAGTGCACGCGGTTGCGGCGCAAAGCACGTGTGGAAGTTAAAATGCTAAAAACACCGCATGTTCGGACCACTTTTGGAAGTTGCGATGTCGAAAAAGCGGACGCCGTTGTGGCGCGAAGCACATTCGCAAGTCAAAAGTGTTAAAAACTTACGGTCTCGGACTGTTGGAGTTCAAATATCGAAAAGTGAACACTAACACATAACACTAGCATAACACTACAACTGCAACTGCAATTACAACTACTACTGCGACTACAACTACAACTACGACTACAACTACACTACGCCACACTAATCTAAACTATACTTGTTACACTACACCTGTTGCACAACACTAATTACACTACACTTATTACACTACACTCCAAATACAACTACACTTCACGTCACTACACTACACTACGCCTACACTGAACTACACTGCCACTACCACTACCACTACACCTGCACCTACAACTCCACGACGCGACAACTACACTACAACTCCAACTCCAACTACACTACACTACTTTACAACTACACTACACTACATCCAGCAGGTGTGCATCCGCTGACCACTGCAACCACTCCAAAAAGCACAACTCCAACCACCTTTCGGTCCATCAGTGGGTTCGCTCTGCCATCCATGCATGGCAACAACTCACCTGCCACATAGGTTTCCTATCTTTGAAACTTCCGCCACCGCCTTGCGCGGTACTACGAGGAATAGCCATCAAAAAGGAGGAGAATACTGTTTGAGACAGACTGAGACCATGGGATTTTGGTCTTCTGAATTTTGACGTATTAATCCATGGCAACGCAATTTTGAGACTACGGTCAGATCAAGAACCCTCCCGCAGCTGAGAAGTCAAGCTTTCATGAATTCCAAAACCATCCCAAAGACTTGACACCTTCTCCTCTCCACTCTGAGTGCATGAATGCATCTATATCTTTTTGAATACTGCGTATATATATATACATATTTATATATACATACGTGGGTATGGTTGCAACCTCCATTCGAAGTGACGAATCACTTTGAGCCATCTCAACAGACCGAAAAGTCAATACCAAAGCCACTTGTCCCCCTTTCCCCCACTGAGATTCCCTGGCAAAGCAAAGCTGGTTGCACCCCACACGCCTGCGGAACACCCCTTGGGATCAGATCGTTATCACCACCATCCACGGTCTCCCCGTCTGCGAACCATCCTTTTTGCTTTCGATGTCCGGGGCTCGGAGTTGGGTTTTGCGCAAGCTACCTGGAAAAAGGATCTGATGATGAAACTCCAAAGTGAACGACTGGTTCGTGCTTGAGACGCCAGCAATCTTAAGGTCATTGAGGATCAACAACCCGGTACCACAGAGAAGTCATTGAAGCGAAAAAAAAAAAGGTGAAAGCACCAACCAGCCAAGATACAGACACCACAAATGCATGCATCCTGCCAGGATTCTTTAAGTTCCCTCTTACCCTTCAGGCTTCCGGCTTCCATAAATGATGTCAATAGATGAAGAAGTTGCTGTTGGATTTTCCAATTGCAAAAGTAGGCCATACGGTTACAGTTTGGGTCATTGAAATCATCTCTTTTGCTGCTTCAAAAAATGGTGTTCCTTAAGTTAATTTTGTTTGCAAAATTGTTGTGGAAAATCACCAGAATGACAATCACCATTTTTTCCATAGCTCCCCCACATCTTGATTCCTGATCCTTGCATCTTTGACCCACCTGATCCTTCCCCAACTTCAAACGTCACTTGCGCAGGCTGCGCAACGCCACTTGGTCTGCGGCTTTTAGCCGGGGCCAGTGGCTCAGCAATCTGGAAAAGCGAGATGACAAGTTCAGATACTCGTTACAAACATGGCGAGTTCGCAACCCCCAAAAAGATAAGAAAGTTATAGAAAGCTGGTAAACTATCCAGCAATCATCGTCTAGAACATCCTGAATTTCCCTGTTCTGTCTTTTTGGGGACTCCTACAGTTACCAACATGTTTAATTGGATGTCTCACTTTAGTCTTGACCTATGGAATTAGTGGATAAAACATTGGCGATGACTCAAAATGTTGTGCCATCTCCACCAAGTTGTAAGGGGAAGGCCTCAAAACCGATTTAGAAATATGAGATGGCAAGTTCAGATATTTAACAGTAACAGTTACAAGTTACATACTATTCTTGTTAATTCTATGGCTATTCCTGTATATTACCCTGAAAACATCGAACTTGGCTTAGCGGCTGAGGTTTCCGCGGCTCCGTGACCCCTAGGTGTATGGGCCTTCCCCTGGATCAGCGCAAGCGATCGCATGCGCGACTGGTCGGTGAGCGACTGAGATGATGACGCAGGTGACAAACTGCATGGGAAATTGTGTCGTGGGGGATTTTCCCGGGGTCCAATATTTTGGACTTATACTATATCTGATCATTTTCACGCAACATCCAAGCGTCCCTGTGAGGTTGTGTCCCATATCTTCGAAGAAACACCCCCCAATCAAAGCAGTTGGATCCCGCAGCTAAGGGGAAGGGTGCGTTTCAGATTTTTGATTGCAATGGTCACATGGTTTATCTTGGATGCCCTGCGCAAAAGGCTTTGTCTGGGATATTGAAATATGTCCGTACAAATCCGAAACATCCAAATCACCATGAAACATACATGGGTCATCATGAACCTGAATAGTGGTTTCCCAAGTATGTAATAGCCAACACTCAAGCCATCAATTGTCAATGGACCTCTTAAGTTTTCCCGGTTATCTTATGATGAGTCATGGTGTTGTTTTCAAAAGATCCTCCTCCACGCAGGATCTGGATGATCCAATTTGAACCCATGGTCCCCAATGACAAGGGTACCCAGGTACCAAATCATCAATAGTAATATGTAAAATTATATATATACATAGTTTTCAGTTTATATATACATATGTTTTCATTATATTTATATACATACAGGTATACATGAAAATCGTGTCCCCATAAACTGGGATGCTTAAATATATCTTAGAACATGTACACATAATATACATGTCGCATAATTCACATGTTTCAAACAAAATGTCAACCCCCAAATTGCAACTAAATGATCCATCTAACCTTCAGCACCTGCCGCGCTCAAGTGCCTATCCGATCCTCACCTCAAGTTGCGGAGTCGAGGGATGACAATTACCCACACTCCCCACCAATTCGTCCTGTTTCACCACCATTTCAGGTGAGAGAGTCGAAAAAATGTACTAAAATCATCTAGAAATATTGAGAATCTACGTCCCATGGACAAATCACCGGTGATTCCAATTCGACGGTCTCCTTCTTTATCGGTATTTACATATTGCATGGCAACCCGACCTGGGCATAAAGCTATCTTTCACTAGATATGATATGGTATAACTGTATAATTGTACTGTGTACTGTAGATAGAGTTTTTGCAGGAAATTGGTTTCCATTGCCATGTATGATAACCAAATGGGGAACTATGCCAATTGCTTCCAAAACGGCTCCTGTCAATGTTTTTTCTCGATGTTTTTCTAATTCCCGAGAGCTCCTGTAGTTTTTCCCAAAGAACTACTGTCAAATTCAACTTTCACTTCATCTGCACAACACCTCCTACATCATTACATCATCTACATCATCTACATCATCTATGTCAACTTCATCTACACCACAAACATTGTCATCTACATCATTAACACAATCTACAAATGCTCAACGGTTAAATATTTCCTACAAAACTCCTGCAACGTCATGTGCACAGGAGTTCTTTGACAGGAGTTGTTACACAGGAGTTGTTTTAGAGTTGTTACACAGGAGTTAGCTTCTAGGTGATCTACTTGTATCTGAACTCCGAGACTGAACTCCTACGAAGCTCCTACTTCTCAAGTTCTTCTAAATTCTCTCTCTAGGCGGCAGGGGCAGCCCGGCCGTGTTCATCGGAACGTGGCCTTCTGCGGAGATCGTGCGCGTCCGACGAACGAACGTGTGGTGAAATGCAAATTTGTCTTGGAGACGGGCAACCCACTGCGGAGGTGTGCGTCGGTCGAACGCAAGGTGAAATGCGAATTTTCGGGGACCGCGCATGCCGGACGCACTAAGTGTTGGTGACATGCGAATTTTCTGGGTGACGGCGTCGACCTTTCGTCGACCTTTCGCACGAAATCAATGTCGAGCGTCAAAAACTGCGATTTTGAAATCTCAGATGCAACCCGTTCGCTCGAAAAGAAGGTCAAACGGCCAAAACTGAGGAAAGGTTGCGATTTTGAGACGTCACTAAAGGTATTCTGTAGCAAGGGTTCTTTGTGCAAAATGGAAAAGCTGCTCTGTGTAGAAATGTCCTTGTGTAAAAGCTTCTGTGTGTAAAAGCGTGCTGTGTGTAAAAGTTTCTCTGTGTAAAAGCTTCTCTGTGTAAAAGTTTCTCTGTGTAAAAGCTTCTGTGTGTAAAAGCTCCTCTGTGTAAAAACTTTTGTGGACAAGCTTGTGGGTAAAAGCTTCTCTGTGTAATGACTTCTCTGTGTAAAGGCCTCCGTGTGTGAAAGCTTCTTTGTGTAAAAGCTTGTGTGTGTGTGTGGAAGCGGGTCTGTGTGTAAAAGATGCTCTGTGGAAAGGCTTCTCTGTGGAAAAGCGTCTCCTGTGTCAAAGGGTCTGTGTGTAAAAGCTATTATGCCCGACAGCTGCATCGTGACCTGGGGCCATGCCGGCTCTGGCGGCAATAGCACATCTGTGCAAGAGCAGATTTCGTTTTTATAGAGCTTCTGGACGCCTAAAGACGGAGCCTGCTCCAACTGAAGTGCTTTCTTCTTGGCTGCTCGCATTGAACAACAGTATTTGTGCGACGTCGCGGCTTCAATGCCGTTCAAAGCCATTGAATGAAGCAAGCCTCGTGTTTGCAGAATAAAATGGGAGCGATGGCAGCATGTCATGCTTCAAGGCACATGGCAGGAATGCATGAATTATGATCACCTGGATGCGCTGCCAGGTTGTAGATGACCCACTTCTTCGCTTCACCTTCTTAGCTCTGACGATCAGGTCTGACGCTAGCATCGTGTTTTCATCCTGCTGGTGTCTTGCAAATGTCCTGCAGCAGAAACCTGGTTTTGAAGTTTTGAAGCATTGTTTTTGTGGCTGCAGCTATTTGCACGTAGTGTCGGGCTGGTTGTCACCGCGATCTGTGCAAAACAACCAATGATCCAAGTTGGCATCGCCATGCACAATGGCATTTGTGGAGCCTTTCACCTCCTGCACACCTCCAGAGTTGAGAATTTGCGAAATACCGCTGAACACTGGTTCCAGAAAAGGTTTTTGACATTGTTCAAAGCAGATGGAGAAATGCTGACTCATGCAAGTCAAACCCTGGGAGAAGCGGGGATTGCCCATGGAGATAGCCTGACATCACTTGCTCTGGTGTGGTGGTAACTCCTCCTCAGTCAAGCGCTTGCTGCACAGAGTCCGTCAGACCCACGCCTCCAGCACAGCGCGTTTGCTGCTATCTTGGCCGATGGCTCTTTCGTTACTTGGGGTTGCTATCACTATGGCAGTGACGACGGCACAGTTAAAGAAAGCCTGGTCGATGTATGCAACATTGCCACGACTGACACGGCCTTTGGGGCCATCTTGGCCAACGGAACGGTGATCATCTGGGGAGACTATGCTAGGGACAGCTCTGCGGCGCAAGATCAACTGAAGGACGTCGAGTTGGTCCAAGGTACCGCTTACTGTATGCCTTTGCTGCTCTCTTGTCGGATGGCTCTGGTGTGTGCTGGAGCTACCAGGATCTTGGGGGTGATAGCTCCCAGGTTCAAGTGCAGCGGCGCGATGTGCAGGTGTTATACTCCACAGAAAGCCTTTGCGGCAGTCTTGGAAGATCGATCTGTCATGACCTGGGGTATGGATGACCAGGGTGGCGACAGCTCCGCAATGCAGCAGCAGCTGACGAGGAGTGTGTTGCGCATTGAAGCAACGAGGTCTGCATTTACTGCGATGCTCTTGGACTGCTCTGTCGTATAACCTGGGGCTGCTTGGAAGAAGGCGGAGATGCATCCACGGTGCAAAGTCAGTTTGAAAATGCAGCGCGGATTGAAGGCAATGAATCTGTCGTCACCTGGGGCAAACAGATAAGCGGAGGGAACAGTTCATATGTGCAGCACCAGCTTCAAAACGTAGAAGCAATCTACAGTACGTATACAGCCTTTACTGCCCTGCTGCCGAATGGATTTGTTGTCGCGTGGGGCAATGCATCTTCTGGTGGTGACAGTTTTGGTAATCAACATCAGCTTCAAAATGTCCAGCGGCTATATTCGATTCGCAGCTATCCTGCCCAACAGTTGCATCGTGACTTGGGGCGGGCTCAGGTTTGGCAGCAATAGCGCGTCTGTGCAAGAACAGATATCGTTCTCCTAGAGCATCGGTGTGCCGGTGGCCAGAAATTACCGTGACGGAGCTGCAATCGTGCGACCGAAGCTTCTTCGAAGCGCAGTCCATTGCCTGGAGCAAACGTCTTCTCTGCGGCAAAAAGAAAAGAGACGGCAGTGTAACATGGATATAGGGCTCCTAAAACTCACCGGCTGTTTTGTTTGGGTTTGCGTTTTGCTGACAGTTTGGCAGCTAACGTGCAACATGCCCTCCTTCGATTCCAGATGTCGCAACTGATCGCAAGCAAACATGATTTGCGGTCTCTTTGATCTGTTGCCAGGTTGCAAGCGAATGCCTCCTGCCAAATTCTGCAGACTACTGCCGTGAGTCGCCTTCTTTCATTTTGCGTTTAGTGAATGCAACTGATTGTCTCTTACCCAGCAGCAACATTTTGCTTGCAGCAAAAAGTGGTGCGAGGAGGGCTGTTTGACTTGGACTGCAGCTTCTTTCACAATCTGGCTTTCAAACTCCATCTCAGTATCGCGTCTTGCTTCTTAACACAAAATCCAGATGCCACGACTTCTCGCAGAAAATGTGCGGCCTGGTTGAAGTTGAACGGCAGTTGACAAATGCCGCAGAATATTTCTACTTCGCTGCTTTCTTCCATCTTGCTTTTTGCGTCACCAGAACGATCACGGTTCCACTGCGATTGTATCAAGCAAGAAATATATAGAAATATGCCTATGGAACAAGCGAGGGCAACGATACTTTGACGCAGAGCGATCTTTTGATCCGTTGCCTTTGAGCTTCAGTTCCTGTCTTGCCTTGCTTCTTGACAATGTATCCACACGTCACAAATCGCGATTCCTCTGTGTCATCGCAAAAAATCTGAGTAGATGCTATGTGGAAGCACAGATATACATATGATATACAGTAAGAATAAAATACAGTAACTTCATGATCACCCATTATAGACCATAGATTCATAAATCATGATGCATCAACAACCTCATTCATCGTTCATCATCATTCATCATCATTCATCATCATTCATCATCATTCATCATCATTCATCATCATTCATCCCATATCTTTTCTCCATCCACTTTTAATCTACTCCCTCCTGTTTTCCTGTCGGGCCATACTGTCGTCTCGTTTTTCTATGTGTTTGTCACCTAGTGATTTCCAGTCGAGCCTCAAACGTCATGATTATTGGAGAGTCACCTTTCGGTTTCGACTTAAATCCCCATGATTTTTGGGACACAAATTTCCAGTCGCTCCCGCGGCGGCCTGGATCTGATACAAAAAAAAGTAATATTTTCAGGCTTGTTCATTCCGGAAAGTTCATTTGGTTTTCATAACTTTTCCTGTTTTAGTTGGTTCTTTTTTGGCTATCATTTTGAAAAGTGGTTGTTTACATCATTTGATCAGATTGTCAGAACTGAAACAGAATACGAAAACACAAAGGAACATTTGCCAAGATTTAAGAAATCGAAAACTATGATTTCTGATGATCTCCCGATGTGCCAAATGCAAAAAATCAGATTTACAGGATGGAAAAAAATGAACTTTCGCGTCGGACCAGATTTGCGGAATGAAAAAAATAGCAAAAAAACGAAAAAAGAACTTTTTCATTTTTTGTCATTGTGTTTTCGTTCTGAAAGTTCCTTCCGTTTTCAGGTCGAAACGGATAATTCATTTTTATTTCGTAGTGTTTTGGGAAATTTGGTAAGACATGATCACTTTTTTTCGTTCTCGAAATTCAGTTGCCTGACAACATCAAAAATGAAAGCACATTTTTTCAATCTCACCCCTGCACTCAGTCTTACCCTCACAGCCTTAGAGCCTTGGAAGGCCCAATGCGTTTCCAGACTTTTTCAACTGGGGATCACAAAATCCCACCAAAACAAAAAAATGCAAAAAAAATAGTGAGTTGAAAATGAGGTCAGAAAAAAAAAAACTTTCGGAAGAAAAAATTACAAAAACATGGGAAAAATTAGTTTTAACATGTTTTAATTTTATTCAGAAGGAGGCCAGGATGGTTTTCAATGTGTTGCCTGGTGAAATGCCCATCTTCTGTTGATCCAAGGGGCACTGTGCATAGTCCCACTCCGGGGCGGGGGCGGCATGTCCTTCAAAAGGCTATCGTGTGGCGCAAGGTTTTCCAGAATTTGCGGTCCCCAGGATCCCATATATGATATTGATATACTATATATCAACATATACGGTGTGTGTATATATATATGTGAAATGCCCTAGTGTACCCCAACATGGGTGTCATGTCATTCTTTATCCCACCATGTGCTCTCTCTCTCTCTCTCTCTGTCTCTCTCTCTCTCTCTCTACGTATTTATATGTTTTTTTAATGCATGTGTATTTATACGATTTTATATCATATACACATGTGCATGTGTGTGTGCGCTGCTGTTGATGACCAATTACAATGGAAGGGATCAGAGCAGGCCTCCTCTTCTTCGCCTTCTTGGTGCACCTGCTCGAGACCCGTGTCCGGCAGATCAAATTCGACATCAGCACGCTGGAAGTAAAAGCTATGACCTCCAGCCGACCGGGTCAAGGAGAAGGAGCAATGGCATCAAACTATCAAAAAGGAATGTATACATACATGGAAACTCCAACAATCCACCTTTTTCGACTGCATGGGAAAAATCTCCTGAAAGGGTCTCAGGCTGAAATGTCAGGGTTGTTTTTCACCAGGCGAACCATTTACGAAATATTTGCAGATCATCGTGACTGGTTGAGGTCACAACCCCCGATAGAAATTGACATGACATGGTACCCGACGAGGGCCACACGGTAGTAGTAAAACCATGGCAATGGGGAGCCCCTTTCTTTTTGCGAAGCCCATGTTTGCAATTGAAAACAAACATCTTCCTGACCTCGTTAGTGGAAAGAGACCTGGAAAATGGGAAACAATGAGGCAAACTATTTCGCAGTCAAGTAATCATCATCCCCGACAAGGGTGTCTACTAAGAAATTGGTTACATTCTCATTTATGTTTGGTGAAGCCCCCATCTACCATCCCGCAAATTAACATATATCCCTCCAAAAAGTGAGGACTCTCAGAGTTGATGTTGGTTTGGGGGATGATATGTTTTCAAAGTCCGGTAGTTTGTTTGAAGACTGCCAACCAGCTATTCACTGGGTTGCCTAAGTATGTCCTATAGTTTACCCATTGTTCAACACATGTTGAACCCACTTACAACCGTATCACATCCCCATGTTTTACCCCTATTTTAGCACTACTACTACTACTGTATATACCATTATTGAATATCATTGATATCACAGCAATAATGTTCAGTCTTATCATTACATATCATTACTATTGCTATCATCATATTTGTTACTAGTGTAGTGATGTGTATATAGTGTAGCGTAGCGTAGCGTATTGTACTGTACGGTACTGTAGTTGTAGTTGTAGTTGTAGCTGGAGCCCGACTGATAGATAGCCGTGGCATTTTGCGGCACTTGTGCGTTTTTCGTGCTTCGGTGGACATTTACGTACGGGTTGCACATCCAGTCAATGCGTTCAGCAAGCACGCGCACAGGCGATATTCGGCAGGTCATGTGAAGTTACAGGGATCATGGTACGTCAGCAGAATAGTTGAAGTTCACGCACACGGATCAGGTTACGTCATCAGAAGGGTCCTTATTTCATGTGCAACCGGCTCTTGATGCTATGCCCTCAACCTTCTTAAGCAACTTGCAACCCGCTCTTGATGCTACGCTCTCAACTTTCCTAGGCAACTTGCAACATGCTCTTGATGCTACGCTCTCAACCTTCTTAAGCAAACATTTATTCTCAGCAGTTTTCCACGATGCCTGTATCATGGAATCAAAACGCAAGAACATCCAGAACTTCAAAAGCTCCTTTATGGATACTGTTGGCGACAATCCTTAGGTCCACTGACACTGGAGGAATTTCTGAAAGAAATCCGCAAAGCAGTGAAGGCATGCAAATGCTTCTGAAACAAGGGGAAAATTGAAGAAATGAAATGCAAACAAAAAGTAGTTTTCCTATTTTACAAAAGGCTATTTTTTTAAGACAACAAATTGACAAGTGGCGTTTCGCTGTGGCGAAAACAACTTTTATGTTGACCTGATGCTCACGAAACCACACGGCTAATTATGGGTTGGGAACCTTGTAGTTGTAGTCGTAGTTGTAGTTACTTGTAGTGTGATTACTGTAGTGGAGTATACAGTACTGTAGTGAAATTAGTGTAGTGTAGTGTTTAGTGCAATGTACAGTGTGGTGTATAGTGTGTTGTGTAGTGTGTTGTAAAGTGTACTTGTAGTTGTAGTTCTTGTTGTAGCTGTAGTGTGGTGTAATTTGTGTAGTGAAGTGTAGTGTACTGCACTGTACTGTAGCGTACTGTAGTGTAGTTGTAGCTGTAGCTGTAGTTGTTGTGTCGTGAACCAACAAAAGTGGTCCGAACATGTACTTGGTGGTTCATCCCACTTAGTAAGTGGGTTATAACCCCAGTTATAAGTGGATTTACCCTACTTATCCCATTTATAAGTGGGGTTATAACTCACTTACTAAGTGGGATGAGCCACCAAGTAGTGCTTTTAACAAACATGTTTACTTCGAAACTTGCTTCGCGCACAGCGACGTGAAATTTTTATGCCATCTCATCCGACGAGATCGCTCCGCACCCGCCGCTTTAGCAAACCTACTTTTCGACCCGGAGCCACAAACATTGGACAAACGCAGTGTTTCGCGACTCTTCTACCTTTTCGCGCACCTACATCTTCTTTCTTCTGACTCTTTCTCTTCTCTGACTCTCCCCACCTCTGCGTTTCTATCTGTCCATATTGTCGGAAGTTTGACTTCTAAACTTCCGTCAATCATATCCCGTACTTATCGTTGCTCTTAAAACTACTGCCATCATTGCTGTCGCTTCTAAGATTCTAGATTTCCACGGTCTTCGGGACACGGTGTGTAGTTTCAAGGCATTGAGTATTGTCATACTATTCCTATATAATCTTTATGACTATGATACCATTACATATCATTACTATGATATTTCTTTGATTTGTATAACTTCACTATTGTAATTACTGCCAAAAAATACTATTATCGTTGTTGGTGGTTAGATCCCTTTGATCATCGAAGTATTGCTATGATATCTATGGCTTTGATCAACTCCAACAACACTATCACCAAGTAATACAAATATCAATTCTGTAATAGTAATAACATGTAATAACTACTCTCACTACATGTTTAATAATGACTATATTATATCACAACATGACTCCTATGACATAATGATTACAAAAAAAAAAAAAAAAACTATATAATACTATATTAATGCATTTGTCTATTATCATCAAAATATTGCAGTAATCATCTCCCCTTCAATACCTGCATTTGTCAAATTCGTGGAGTTTCAGAAAATCCATCCAGTCTGGGGGTTTCCCAGCGGCCACGTGAGCAATGGCCAGAGGGTAGATCCCTATGTATCTTGGAAGGTATACATATATATATATTCCCACTATATCCCAACTCTTATCCCAGAATTTTCCCTATGAGACCATATAAAACCATATAAAATTATATATAACCATATAAAACCATATAAAATTGAAACCCTGTACACCTTTATAATGTTTGATGTTTTTATTGTTATTACATTGATCATTATTCTTATCATTATGGTAAATATTGTTACAATGCCAAATATCATAGTAATAATGATAATGATAATATCTATACCACTAATGCTTATATACCATGGTATAATGATAATCATAATACAATAATTATGGTTTTAAAGAAAACAAAAACATGCCAATAATACCACAATACATACCAGTGCTCCCAAAATATAATATTAGGGTATGTTTAATGTTAGTGATGTTTAGCCAAAGTAGTAAGGTAAGTTTATAACAACGGCAAAATGATAATCTAACACTACTATTGTAGTAGTGACTAGTGTCAGTAAAGCAATGTCATAAACCACCCATATATTCTGATGGTTTTTGCAACCCATTTCCGGTAAAATTGGGGGTGGTGGATCCTACTGCATTAGTAACATTTTCATTGGTGCCATACTATTGGTCATAAATATTATTATCATTATCATTATCATCATTATTACTGCAGTATATATATAGTTATTGCATTCTCAATATTACCTAAATATACTAATTATCAGTGTTATCATTATCATTACATACAATTAAATACTGCAACGATAATACTAGTATAGCAACAGCAAGATTGTAATTTAGCATTATTTATTACTATAGTAAATATGACTATCAATTACCCTCTGGTAAATTAACATAGACCCTGAAAATCCGCCGACCCCTGCCGTCAGCAGGGGGAGCGCGTCAGAGGAGGCCTTACTAGCAACAAGATGCCAGAAGGGGCGAAGAGTTTGTGCAGAACGAAAGCCGGCTCCAGAAGGACACGAGCAGGGTGGCAGTTGGCAATGTAGAAACGCGAGAAAAGTCAAGGTTTGGAGCTAGTTTCTAGTCGGTTCAGAAAGTGACGTTTGGCAGTCTGGGATACGGGCCGCGGGCCCAATCCGTCCTTCACTGCCATGGTGTTTTAGCCCTGCGACACGGTCCTTGGACTCCAGCTTGGACCGAAGCGGTGCAGAACGAAAGCCGGCTCCAGGAGGACACGAGCAGGGTGGCAGTTGGCAATGCAGAAACGCAGGAAAAGTCCAGGTTTGGAGCTAGTTTCTAGTCGGTTCAGAAAGTGACGTTTGGCAGTCTGGGATACGGGCCGCGGGCCGAATCCGTCCTTCACTGCCATGGTGTTTTAGCCCTGCGACACGGTCCTTGGACTCCAGCTTGGACCGAAGCGGTGCAGAACGAAGGCCGGCTCCAGGAGGACACGAGCAGGGGGGCAGTTGGCAGTGCAGAAACGCAGGAAGTCAAGGTTTGGAGCTAGTTTCTAGTCGGTTCAGAAAGTGACGTTTGGCAGTCTGGGATACGGGCCGCGGGCCCAATCCGTCCTTCACTGCCATGATGTTTTAGCCCTGCGACACGGTCCTTGGACTCCAGCTTGGACCTAAGCGGTGCAGAACGAAAGCCGGCGCCAGGAGGACACGAGCAGGGTGGCAGTTGGCAGTGCAGAAACGCAGGTAAAGTCAAGGTTTGGAGCTAGTTTCTAATCGGTTCAGAAAGTAACGTTTGGCACTCTGGGCTACGGGCCGCAGAACGAAAGCCGGCTCCAGGAGGACACGAGCAGGGTGGCAGTTGGCAGTGCAGAAACGCAGGAAAAGTCAAGGTTTGGAGCTGGTTTCTAGTCGGTTCAGAAAGTGACGTTTGGCAGTCTGGGATACGGGCCGCGGGCCCAATCCGTCCTTCACTGCCATGGTGTTTTAGCCCTGCGACACGGTCCTTGGACTCCAGCTTGGACCGAAGCGGTGCAGAACGAAAGCCGGCTCCAGGAGGACACGAGCAGGGTGGCAGTTGGCAGTGCAGAAACGCAGGAAAAGTCAAGGTTTGGAGCTTATTTCTAGTTGGTTCAGAAAGTGACGTTTGGCAGTCTGGGATACGGGCCGCAGGCCCAATCC